CCCGCGCGCTCATATGACCTTATGCAGTTGCGAGCGCCGTAAAACCCTATACTAAACAAACAAACAAACAGTAGGCCCTACAAGCTGCGGAATAAGTGCTCCAACACTAACAAACCGACTAGATCTTCGCCATCTAAAGCCAGGTAGCCATTCCCAATTGAGTGTTGTTGTTGTTATCGATCCAGCAACAGCTGGGCTCTCATCCTTCTGTCTAACCCACCTGGGTGAAGCGAGTGAGGAACATTCGCATAAAGTACCTTTCTTCCCAAGGACACAATGTCGGGCCCCGTGATGGAGTTTGAACCCATGACCTTTCGGTTATGAGCCTCAGAACAAGCTAACCACTAGACCACCAACACCATATATATATATATATATATATATATATATATATATATATATATATATGTTCCTATTAGTGGAAAAAATATATATTATAATAAAACACATGTTATAAAGAGTTAACAAATCTGCTTTGCCTTTCCTGTTGTTTCGGTCTGCCTGTTTTGCTCTTTCCCTTGCACTAATAAAAATGTGCATCACGGTGCGGACCGCTTCCCAAGCACATCTCTGTCTGTATATTATATTCAATGAAAGAAACAATGAGACAAAATTAATGACTAAACAATTCAGTGTCAATCAGTGTTGTGAAGATATCTATATCTCTCTCTCCCTCTCATTCCTATTCCCACATACACACACCTACACAATCATACAATCAATGATATTGCTGCCAAAAGAACCAAGACACAGTTCATATAGTAAAACACAGACTCCACACACACACACACACACACACACACACACACACACACACACACACACAGAATGGGCTGTAAGAAAAAAACACCACAAGACTATCTTACTATACAACAGTTCTCAAATTGACCAAAAAAAACTAACATAAAGTTCGGACTAAAAGCCATGACTATTTTCCTCAGCTTTAAACCCTGTCCCTTAACCCTATCCGTCCGTATGCCCTGGGGTCATTTTGTACCCCCGGGGTTGTATTCTTTACATTTTAGAATACTTCTAGTGCGAAGATCTCTCTGAAACTTTCCGTATTTCTCAAAGAATAATTTTGAGAGACTGCTACGCAAAGCATACGGATCGGATTAACGAGTAAATTTCCTCTTTGGAAAGTGGTGGCACAGAGTTCCCCACGTTGTATGGATACCCTAGTAAAACACGGTGAACGGATAGGGTTGAACCAGAGACCGCAAATGGATTTATGGATTTTCCCGATTACAGAAGCCTCACTCCCTCGTCTATTCTTAGCATCCACCAAAAACATAAAAAAGTTGACGTATTTTCCCCAACACCACACTTTTGCGTACCCATAAGAAACACGGTCAAACAGACGGGCAAGTACTTTTCAAGACATATATCTGTGTTGTATATAATCTTCTGCGGCTTATAAATCAGTGGAAGTTCAAATTTTTCAAAAATTTAGTGCGGCTTATTATATAAAGGCGCACTCAGCAGCCCAAACTTTGCGGTGGTCAAAACACGAATCCTCTCTGGAATGATTTCAATCAAGCTCATCCCAGTCTGTCAAGTCAAAGTCGACCTGATGCTGATGTCGATCCATCCGCCATTAGAACCGCGAGTCATACAATCCTGGTTCGAGTCTGAGACGGGAGGGTAGGGGGAGAAAAAAACGACTGATGGTTCATTCTGATGAGGTACATGTAAGCAAGCGTAGAGCGGTACAGAACGTTCTAGTTGACTGTAGACTTTTCCTACTCACAATCCCCCGACTCTGCTGCCTTGGTGCAGAACTTTTGAGAAAACATGGAGACACAGCCCACACTTGTTTAATTAGTTTTTTTTTAAAACAAAAAATCAAAACAAAAATCTAGATCCAGGGCTCCTTTTTCCAGAAAACTCAGTTAAGTTGTAGTAAAAGTTTTAGCGTACAGCACTTGCAAAGCAATAAGGTCATCATATAAGTGCTGAAGATTAGAGGCGTTACAAAAGAAAAAAACAACAACAACAAAAAAGGAGGAGGAGAGATAAGGACGATAGATGTTTGATAGGAAAGAAGGAGAAAACAACACCAGAACACCACCCACTTCCAGGAAATCAGAAACTCAAATTGCTGCAATTCTTCTACCAAAAAAAAAAAGGTACATTCATCATAACAAAATACCAATCCATGGCATAGCATTAAGCCAAAAAATTCTCCTAATATTTTATTTACATATAAAGGAATAATCGACAAGAAACTGTTTATATACATAAAGTGACACGAAAAACAAACTTTATATACATAATAAAGCAAAAATAAACTGTTTATTATATACAAATATAAGAGACGATTGGGGAACACATGCCCCCTTCCCTCCCCATCCCCTTAAAAAAAATTGTTAGTATGAGTTTTAGGGCACTTGCAACACAATAAGATCATCAATATATATAAGTGTTGAAGCTTAAAAAGTGTTACAACAGAGTAATGTACATTGTAACAAACACAAAAATGAAGGAGGAGAGATAAAAGGACGATAGATGTTTGAGAGAGGAAAGAAGGAGCAAACCACGTCAGAGCACCCGCCAACACCCCCTCCCCCTGATTAACGACGAGCTAGTGGTAAGTACACAACGAGAGAAAAACAGAGACAGCACACAACAAAAGGAGTCGGGTGGGGGGAGGGGGAAACAGGAACTAACAAGTTCGTCAACATCAACATGTGTTGTGTGTGTGTGTGTGTGTGTATGTGTGTGTGTGTGTGTGTGTGTGTGTGTGTGTGTGTGTGTGTGTGTGTGTGAGTGTGTATGTGTATGCATGTGTGTGAGTGTGTATGTGTATGCATGTGTGTGAGTGTGTATGTGTATGCATGTGTGTGAGTGTGTATGTGTATGCATGTGTGTGCAATTGCATCAACAACCAAACAACAAAAGCCATCAATAACCGGGGCCGAGGGCAGAGTGAGGTGGGGACGTGGTGTCGTGGGGTCAAGGGGTCAAGGCCAGGCACAAGTGACAACACGACCCAAAACAGATTCCGCAACTCCAACATTGGAGACGCTCAGGCCACACAAACACAAAGCTCCTTCGTTTCAAATTCATTAAGACACTTCCGATTTGTAAAGCAAGGTTCACTAACGAGTCCAACTTAGTCCAAGTCAAAACCACAGCAGAACAACCACCAACCACCCACTTGAAGGCTTCACCATTATTATATATAATCAAACTACTTAACTTTGCTTACTTGGAGCCCACAGGGAGCACGAGGCGGGGGTAGGCCACGGGAAACATGGAAGAGATGTGTGGAAAGGGACATGAGAGAGATGAAGCTCACTTGGAACGAGCTAGGAATGATGGCCCTGGACAGAGATACTCGTAAATGGAAGGAGCTTGAATGTGGCCTATACCCTGCCAGGGGTGAAAGGCATTGATAGATTGACCTTGCTCACCAAGGCAACATAAATTGTCAGCATAGCGAGAAAAATAAGCAAATACATTTGACACCCCATTAAAGCCTTAAAGCCGTAGAAAGGAAAAAAAATCAAGAGGTGCTCACATTCCAGGTGACAGTTAGGATATCTCTATTCTACTGTACTGAATTTTAAAAAGCTGAAAACACCCAAAAAAAAGCCTACAAATCCTTTGACCAATGAAAATAAAGCCTTTAAAAACTCAAAACGTGGCAAACACTTCTCTACCAGAATTTAGAATTGGTCTCATTGGCTGTAGCAGAAGTGACATGTTATCTTAATCCTTTTTCCTTTCTATTTCACTAAAGAAATATTTTTTCCTCCACCGATGTATTTCGTCAAACCAACAATCATTGTTACTATGTTGAAGTTGCCTGCTTCCCTCTATCATATATGCCTTGTTTTCACAAGCGTGTTCAGCACTCGCAACACAATAAGGTAATAACATAAGTGCCGAAGATTAGGTGTTCCAAGTGAGTAACAATTTTTTTTAAAAAAGAAGAGAAGAGATAAGTACAATAGATGTTTGATAGGAAAGAAGGAGCAGGCCACATCAGAACACCCGCCAACCACACACAGGGGGAAAGTATAGAAAGTAAAGAACCTACCAGCGGCGCCCTCCAACCACCCGCAGGTCTAGACAGGGCTGAATTCCACAAAAATATTATTATACATTATTTTCAAACGTTAAAAATTTCTGTAGCATGGAAACACATGATGATAAAATTAACAAGTTGATCAAACCATTATAACACATCATAAATGTTCATACAATGACATTACAGTGTAACTTTTCCTCAGTAAAAATGGTCGCTTTTAAGGACAAGCAGGCTAACCCAGATTTCGGGGGTTTCCAGAAATCTTGACCTACACCAAAAGTGGGCATTGCCCTACCTCAAGAAGTTTGGTTTCACTGGTGTGTATATTTTCTTGGTTATAGAGAAAACGCTCCTTTTCTTTTAAAGAAACTGAACAAGGGTCCAAAAACTTTACCTTCGATTTTCTCAAAACAGAATTTTTCGGGACAGCCTCCTTGTGCTTAAAAGTGACCAATTGTCGACAGATAAGCAACTCATACAGCCTGCTTCTCTTCACTCTCAGCCAACTCGTAGAAACTCAACAGCTCAACAATAAAACAACCTCACGTGCATATATACAGTCAAACCTGCTTGAACGGCCACCTGTCCAAGACAATCACTTGCCCAGGACATCCCTCTGTCCAAGACTCACCTGCCCAAAACATCCCTCTTTCCAACACAATCACCTGTACAAACGACCACCTCCAACTGGCCGTTCGCAAAAGACGTCAGCAAAAATTTGGCCAAAAATAACCACCCCCTTCCACCCTTGTCATCTTCTGTCATCTTTCACAGGATCCCCCACCCTAGCTGACATCAACCAAAATGAATATCATGTATCTCTAGCTTCTAGCAGTCTGTGCTATGGGGAAATAACTGTTAATTTTAGTTCTTAGGCAAAAAAAACCCAAAAATAACAATACGGTCCAATTTAACTGTGTTAATTTTAGGCCAAGAAAATGTGGTCTATAATATTTTTTTCTTCCTTTCCTTTTCTTCTTTCCCCAACATTTTACAGCATCATGGATGATGGCAACTTTGTACGGACACCCACCCCCCCCTCCCCATTTCAACTTTTCACTGATCCCCCCTCTGAGCTGACGTTATTTGTGAACAGTTCCTTATTATGAAGTCACTGCCCAAGACATCTCCCTGTCTAAGACATCTCCCTGCCCAAGACATCTCCCTGTCTAAGACATCCCCCAGTCTAAGACATCTCCCTGCCCAAGACATCTCCCTGTCTAAGACATCCCCCAGTCTAAGACATCCCCCTGTCTAAGACATCCCCCTGTCTAAGACATCTCCCTGTCTAAGACATCTCCCTGTCTAAGACATCTCCCTGTCTAAGACGACCACTTTCCTCATCCACAAAGGGAGACTGTCTTGAACAATTTCGACTGTACTACATACATACATGGCAGAAAACAATAAAACAATGATGGCACTCATCATACTTAACACTTTGCAGTCACACAGCCAGCAGTACAAAATACCCGATCAGGTCACCCTGCCTTGAGAGCGACAGCAACGGACTTCACGGGCCTGGCCTGGCGCAGAACTGCGCCCACTTACCAGAACAGATCATTTTCACCGCACCAAGTGCCCGCAAAGTGTTAAAAGTTTGTCAGGTCACAACTCACATGCGCATGTTATAAAAACAAAGAGACCTCCACCCTTAACTCAGATGGTACTACTACACTGAGCTTCGGTGTGGATGGCTCTGGTTTGAATCCCCAACGGGGTGCTTTTTTTTCTTCTTAAAACTTTGGTAGTTTGAAGAGTCTTCAGAGCTCTTCACCAACCCTGGCACCATCCTCTTGGAGACATGTTAAAATCAAAGGCCACGCCTCTTGAACAAACTTTCACAGCAATCAAAGGGGGGTAAAAACTCATTTGATTTCAATTACAATAGACTAAATCGTCTTAATTCCACAATACCTCCACAACTTACTCATCTATTTTTACAGCGTAAAAGTGGACGCTTGCGATTTAACGTACATGTAAAAACCACAATGTATGGTTACAGAAGACGATGGAATAAAGAATGCAGAAAACAAAAACAGAGATATTGTTGTTGGGGTAAAATTGTATACAGTTTCACATAATGGACCCTTGATACCAACACATCACATGTCAACATATGTTGCACCACACACATGCAGACAAACACACACACACAGGCAAACACACACATTCACTTGTAAGCGGTCATGAGATAAATCAACATTGAGAAACAACAACATGGAACAAACGCATCGCGAAAAAAAAAAAGTGAAACAAATATTTCGCATCTCAACGAGTTATCTCGTACCTTGTCTTATCTCGTACCTTGTCTTATCTCGTACCTTGTCGAGACTTCTGAAACTTCCAGGACTGTACGGTCTTCCAAACCCACAAATCGGGATAAGGGTCCAGAGGGGGGAGGGGGAGTGCAAATGCGTGTGTGTGTGTGTGCGGGGGGGGGGTGTTTGTGGGAGGGCAACGATTTCTTCACTTCTTCAACAGTCAGGCACTATAAACAGTCTTCGAAGAACATCCGTTTCCACTATGGCGGGAGGGTCAACAAACTTTCGAAAGAGCATAGTCCACCGCTCTCTCACCCCAACAGGAAATCCTTGAGGCAGACGAGACCCCTTTTCGGTAGAGTTCCATCCCTTTGACGAGTCAAAACCACACACTTCTGCCCCTACAGCATGGCTACGTAACTACCCGCCGTAGCCAGAACCTTCCTCCAGCAACGACACTCGACCGTGACGCCATCGTTCAAACGTTACGATTCCACACAGAGAAAATCAACTACGCAGAACACAACTTCAGCTAAACGTTCAAACGCAAGCACGTCTAAACATCATAATATATACGTCTATTTAAATAGACATATATATGGCTATATGCACTAGCTTCCTTCATACAGTCAGTCCACGATGCTCCCCACACAAAGATATGCAAAACTATAACAAAGCTAGGAAATCATCAAGAACGGTGGATTCTGTACATCGGACGTAGCCGCCCGTCAAATCTGTGTGTGAACAACAGGCGCACACTAGGGGACGAAAGTTACCATCCATCTGTCACTTCTTTTGCTTTCTATCACTCACTCCTTCTCCTATATCATCTCTACTACCTTCTCTCACTTCTTTCCTTCTGCCACTTCATCTCTTCCGTCACACCATCTTTTCTGTCCCTCACTCCTTCTCTTCCGGACTTCTTTCCTTCCATCACACCATCCCTTCTGTCACTCACTCCTTCTCTTCCGTCACTTCTCTTCTGTCACTCACTCCTTCTTTTCTGTCCCTTCTTCCCTTCCGTCAGCGTGTGACTTTCCTTCCATCTTGCGTCGACACATGAAGCGAGGCCCCCTTCACGAAGACTGTGGGGGCGATGGCGTGCTGAAGGGAGACGACTGACCTCTGTGCGTCGGCGGTTTCAGAGCGTTCTGCAAGCGTTGTTGGCCCGCAGCGTCCAACTTCCGCTTGAGGTTGGCCGCGATCTTCAGACAGCTGTTGCTGTCAAATGACTGGAAGGGAAAGGGAAATGAAAGAGACTGAATGAAATGAGGAGATCTTTGATGATCTGAGTGTTTAGATATTGGTTTGTTGTTTTGTTGTTGTTTTTTGTGTGTGTGTGTGCGTGTAAGAGAGAAAGGGAGGGAGAGGGAGACAGAGAGAGAGAGAGAGAGAGAGAGAGAGAGAGAGAGAGAGAGAGATTGAGATGAAGGTCAAGAAGCTGAAAATGTTTGAGTGCTCTGAAGTAGTGCAAATTGTAAAGCGCAAAGGGCATGCTAAGGAGCATAGATAGATATGCGCTATATAATGTCAGTACTGTTATAATTATCAATATCATTATCATTATCATTATTATTATTATTATT